AGTTTGCGTCAGTTCGGTTTCGGCAGATTAAACCGCGGACCCAATTCGTCCGCTAAAAGGTCTAAGAGGGATAGAAAAATAGCATCCTACAAGGTTAACTATGAGCCTGGCGAAATCTTCTTCGTCCGCGGTCTACCTCTCGGGCAGGCTAGTACTGGTGGCGGATTCATTTCCATGGCCCCGGGATGCATTCGTTCAAAAATGACATCTGTCACGTCCGTGATCTCAATTTCTGACCGCTCACGCAAATCATTCATTAACCCTTCTAGCCTGCCAATAGCCTGTGACCTGTGGTCGGGAACAGAACCAACACTTTCATCTAGGGAATCCCCGAATCCCGAAATAAATGTCCTCCAAAAAATGTGGACATCCTCTGCATAAAACACACCACGTCGTGCATTCATCTTTGCACGAATTTCATGTCTGCATGGGAGTCCAAGACATTTCCTCATATAACAGACGCAACCGTCTATGTCTTCATCCTTCTCATCGTCCAACATCTGCAGAGCATTATGTGTTACAATTCCACTGGACAATATTTTAAATACGGGCACGTTGATCGTCTGGGCCCGAATCCTCTTTGATTTTGCAAAATCGGCTAGTATCTCGTTAAATTGATCTTTCATCATTGAGTGATACTGTGCCCAAAATGTGTCGAAGCCACCCGTGGACGATTCCAACCATCTCTTCAATGCTCTATGGTTGCTCTCCACCCTAATATGTTTAGAATATGCTATGTTTCAATAAACTACATGACAGTAAGTTAAGTATATGTATTTAACCACTTATAAATAAATACCTGCTTGTCGATGTATTACCCAAATGGAAAATTAGATCCGTCCATGCTTTTACAAATTTCTCTTTGTATACGAGCCAAGTGTATTGGAGATACTCAATCAAATCTGGATAATTCGCGTACTCGTCAATCAAAGCTGTGTAATTCCTGGCGAAATCTTCTTCAGACACTGATTTTGCCAAAGTTTGCCACATACCAAGTACAAAAGCCGTGCCGCGACGCCTACTATTGCCGAGACATCTTGAAGCACGACGCCCCACATTCATGTTAATGTGCCAAAGACATAAGAGATGAGGTACGGTCGGAAATACATTCTCTAGCGCCTTTATGAGCCCTAACTCTCGATCCGTCACGATGGCACTAGGTAGAGTCTGAGGGGGGAAAAGTCTCTTCAGCTTTTGCAACACCCATGTGTAATGGTCTTCATTTTCATGGCGCAAAAATGCGACTGCAACAGTAAAAAATTTCCCGACAGGAGTAACACCAACAATCTCCAACAAAGGCAATTTGTACTGATTGGTTTTGTAAGTACTGTCAAGTAGTAATACATATGGAAACTTACTTAACAATTCGACAGATTGAGGGTGAGCCCACATCAAATCAGTAACTGCATGTGTTGTTTCATCAGTATGAAACCACTTGTAATAGTTATGCTCCTCAAGCAACCCAATCAAATGTTGCATCACTGTACGGTCACCCCTAGATAGTCTTTTCAATTTCGCCTTCTGATTGTATATTTGTTTCGAATAAGCATCGAGACCCAAACCATTTTGTCTCAAGTTAGCCAAAATCTTCTTGGGCGGCACATGACTTTGTGACAGATCACTAATGATCTTCGCCTCCTCCTGAGACAATGCACTCATCCCATGCCCGGACTTGTATATCGGAACATGATTATGCTTCCCGTATATTACTCTAACCTCCCATCTGTCATCCCATCGTAGCTCTCCGACAATATAAAACCACAGCCTATCTTTTTGCTACCGGTCCTTCTCGGGCGCGCGTCTGGATTAGTTGATGGACATTCTCGTTTTTCCCCGAATAGGTCACAAGTCAAAAAAATCTTTTTTTTAGGACTGCTTCTTTTTACTATTTTCACACAAAGACCTCTTGCAACGAACCTCACCCAAACCACTACCTCATCCTTCGAGTCAAACAACTGAGTAGTGGTAAAATAATCGGTATGATCAACTTCAAATGTAGACGTATCGTCCTGAAAAAAACGTAAAAAAATTGATTTTAAAAAAAAAAAAAAAAAGGTTTAAAACCCAAAAGCCCAAGTCGGGCGCCCGGCAGTGCAGTGCACCCATATCTAGATCGTCAAACTGGCCGAAAAAGGGCGACATACCACTTTCTCTACCGAAGACCTAGGGCACGAGAAACGCCCTCGAATCAACCCCGAAGATAACGTCGCCCATGTGCAACCCATGGACGAGCTACTGACGATCGACCTGATCCCCGGCATGACGAAGCGGACTTGGATCAGCAAAGACTTAGAGCCGTCTTTCCGAGATAGGCTGGTAGCA